ATCGGCCAGTGACCTATCTCGAGCTAGTCGGCCGATTTTTTAAAAATTGGCCCGACAAGAGCATTGTGTACGTGCTTTTCTCAAAAGTACATGGTGGATGGCAACGGCCGGGCCTCGGCTCTGGTCCGGCCTCCAGCCTTGGCCCGGTTAGGGGCGGGCCTGGCTGCGTGGCTCATTTCCAATCTTACAAGAAAATAGTCATTATGTCCTAGGTGGTATGCCCGACCACGGAGACCAAATTTACCATAAAAATTTGGCAAACGCGAAATCTAAGTACTAGAGTGCTCAAGGAAACGGAAAAAAAAAAAAATTCAAAAAATATTGTATTCAACAATCCATCTAGCATATAAATGAGTGTTGAGTTAGTAGTTTGGGTGGTCCTATATTAAAAATATCGGGCCACCCTATGTTGCTCACATTTTATAAATTTTGGTCTATTGTCTTGAACGTCAGATAGTATACTTTAAAAACTTTATGAAGTTCAGAACTCAAATTCCCTACATTTAGAAAAAAAATAAAATAAAATAAAAAGGATATTCTCATATCAGATCAACCAGCAAAATTCTTTGTTTGAATTTCCTATATGAGTTGAACGAGTCCATAATTACTATATATCTGAACGAAAATGGTTCGATAGAGCTGCAACCCCATCAAAAGAAATAAAGCTTCGCCTCATAACTCTTTGAAAATTGCAATTCAAGCATTAGAAATTGCATCAATCATCTCGGCTTAAACATTATGGCCGTGAAAAAAATTAAGATTTCAAGCTCTAAAAAGAGTAAATATTGTAACAAATTATCTAAACCATCAATTTTGCCCCAAAAATAGTTGTTCATAGATCTGTAAGGTTTGTATCATTTTTTTTAGTTTCAAATTTTATTGTTGGTTTTGAAATTTGGTTTTATACTTTAAAATAAAAAATAAAAAAGCACGAACAGAGTGCTCCCGTGGGGGCACACGTGGCCTATTCTTCCTCGCTCAAAACCCCAATCGTTACATTTGTTTTTTTTTTTCTCGACGTGAAATGTTATACGGATTCTCCGGCCGAATTTTAGGGTTTTCTGTGGCTGTGTGAGAGAGAGAGCCGATAAAATTGAAACTATACAGAGAAGAACAACATTGTCAAAATAAAAAATAGTTCAAATTTGTTTTTATTCAAATTATCATATCTGCTGTATTTTTCTCTTTTTTTTTTTATACAGATTAGAGTTATCATATCTACTGCAATTTTTTTTTGTTTCTGAAGATTAAATTTAATATTTTTTTTTGCTTATACAGATTCAAATTATCATATCTGCGGCATTAGTTTTTTTTTTTTTTTTTTTTTTTAACAGATTTGAATTATAATATCTACCGCAATTTTTTTTTTCTTTTTTGAAGATTTAATTTATTTTTTTCTTGACAGATTCAAATTATTAATCCTACTCGAATAATTTTGACAAACTTATCTTTTCTGAAAATTAAATTCAAATTATGAGGTATACTGGAAATTGTTTTTGCCCAATTAATATAATTCGATCAAGAAAATTCCTCTTTTATCTTTCTAAAATCAAGTTTCTTGTTATCCTTTTGAAATTTTTTCCTTTTGCCCAATTAAGTTTTAAATTAAGACATTTGTTCTTCTATCTTCCTAAAATCAAGCTTATCTTTCTAAAATCATATTCAAAATTATCGCATATGCTGAAATTGGTGTTCAATTTCATTTATAAATCTATTACATGTGTATTTTTAAGTTTATACTTCCACAAGTTAAATTCTGTTTTTCCTCAAATTTGTTTTTCCAAATTATGATATCTGCTGAACTTTTTGCCCAATTTCCATTCTTATATGAGTAATGCACGTGTTTTTTAATTTTATTTTTCTAAGATTTTAAGTTGTGTCGTCCTTATTTATTTTCGAAATTTATTTTTTCTACCATTCTGCTCTATCAAGGGCCATACTCGAGTGAGTCCATAAGTTCTTATATCTTTTCTTACCACTTCCAATCATGTACATTTAGGCCACCCTTTGTCCTTCTTGAACCTTCTACTTGGACCAACTCGCACCTCCTAACAAATGTTATACTAAATCTGCACTGCATATGTACCTTAGTCTGTTTTCTCTCATCTTAGTATTGGGGCCATACATAAGTTCTCTCCAATGTGAATTTTATCCATTCTTGTTTTCCTACTCATCCAAAATAACTTTAATGTATTTCAAAAAAAAAAAATCCGTTATGTTTTTTAAAAAATTAAACAATTCTCTTTTATCCTTCTAATATTAAAATCCAAATTATGAAACCCACTAGAATTTTTGCCATATTTCTATTTTAAATCTAAGATATGTGTTTTTTATTTTTTTTCTTTGTTTCTATTTCGTTTCTTTCATTAGAGTAACTCTACTAGATCTTAATGGAAAATTGCAATATTTTTTGTGAAATTAAAAAACAACATTTTAGTTTACATCCAAGTCTTAAAAAAATGTCATATTTTTTTGAAATTAAAGTGTCCCATATTTCTTAATATTAGAAAATAATCTCGCATATTTTGATTTTACATTTGAGTCTCCAATTTTTGTATTCTTTTCTCTTGATGGGGGTCTTTTATTTTATTTTTTATTTTTTTTTGTAAATATCCTATATATCCTAGTATTTAGAAAATCTAAAGTGTCCCTCTAAATATCCCTTGTTCTTCATTGTTTATGCTTCTCACCATTATTTCCTTTTTCTTTTCTTTTTTTAAAAATTTTCTTACAAAATACTCCTCGATTAGGAACTTAAAGTTTGTAGAGCAATTGTGACTTCCTTATAATAAAGATAAATGGTTTCATTATACAATCCCTTACTAAAATATCCATGAGAGATACTATTTACACATTTATCACTATTCCAACTCACCATCATGTATATTTTTGAACTGAAATCAATCTATATAGGTAAAATGTTAAACAGTTTATCACTCATAGATATTTTAATAGATTTTACTTATTGTTAATTTCTAAAAAATCATAAGATTTATGGGTAAATTGCCAAAAAAAATACAAAAAATTGGGACTAGTGTTGTAAGAGACCATTTTCCAATTTTGAAAAGAAAAAGGGAACTTTTTATAAATTTCCTTTTCTTTTGCTGTTTTTTTTGCAATATATTCATTCTATTTTCCCTTTAGAATTACATTCTTTGCAACCTACAATCCCAAGAACACAAAAGAGATCAAAAAATAAGAGTAAGGCCTCGAAGAGATAAATGAAAGAAAATAAAAAATAAGATGTGGTTACGAGGGCAGGTATAATTTTTGAAGAATTAAAGTAGTGTAGTGGCGACAATGAACTATGGTCTATTTCTATTTTCTCTTTGAAAATGAATCCCCATGACTTTTTCTATTCATCCAGAAAAATCTCCGTGCTTAAAATGAGGCGAAATAAGCAGGATTTGAGCAATCATCGATTTTCTCTTTAGTATGACTATATACTTAATGGGATTATATGAGGCTAAGCTCTCTATGTTTTCGTTAAGCATAAAACTTATATACTTCTCTTTATCCAACCAACCGTCCATTTTGAATGGAGGGCTAAGATTGCCCCAATCACAATGTCACGTATCTACACTATTTTATTTTTAATTTTTTTCTATAAATTATTTTGACATCAAATTTTGGACATCCAATCCTCTATTAAACTCGCACTAGTGAAAAATATATATAAAAAATATTTCCAATAAAATAAAATGACCAAAATACCCTTGAAAGTTTTGAAGGGTATTTTGATCATTATATTTTATCAAAAAAATACTTTTAATATTTTTTCCATTAGTGTGCCCTAATGAGGAGATGGCATGTACCAAATTTCATATTCATACAATTTTTATAAAAAAAATTAAAAATAAAATACTTTGAGACGTCGGATCTAAGATCAAACGGTGAGTAACTCTCTTGATAAAAAATGGATGACTGGATGGTAGGGAAAGCATAGATCTTCTATGATGTAGGGGAAGTGAAGAAACCTTTCCCATTATATAAAAGGTGTGGTTTCTATAAAGTTGCAACCTTAAACAATCCAATTATGGTGTACCTCCAAATTTTATCATAACATATAATTTTGGTGTAAAAAATTCTTAAGATTATATAAAAATCTAATTTCATATTTAGTTACAAAATTTTAAACTCCATAAATGATTGAAACCAAATAGATTTATAAACATATGAAAATCTTGAAAATGGACGGTCTAGATAATATATTGCAAAATGTGTTGTTTCTGGGACTCAAAATCTTTTTTTTTATGCATATTCATACATCTCGATATCAAGATGATCAATTAGAGGTTTTCAAAATTAAAACAACCTTTTCCGATGAATTTTTAAGGTGCATCTTTAATTCTTCATTTTAAAGTTACAACCTTATACAAACTTTTTCTTATATTAAATGAAACCATTAGTTTTTATTACAAGAAGGGCACAATCACTCTTACTCATTTGATATCAAATTGGATAGTTTGAACTAGTCATTGAAGTCCATTAATTTTTATTTTTAATTTTTTTTTAACTTTGAGTATCTTTAATGATACTCTTACAATCACCCAATTTGAAATCAAAGAGATAATGGTGATTGTGACCTCCTTCGGCAAAAAAATAAATGGCCTCTTTACATATTTTTCCATATTTAATATAAATAGTATAGTTTTTCATTTTGTAATAAAAACTCCAAAACACAAAAATTATTATTTTAATATTTCCATTATTTAAAGATTTATTATTTCTGAGGTATAAACATCCATTAAAGATGGATGCAAATAGGTGGTCCATCTAAAAACAAATGTAAGCAACGATCCAAATGTTTTTTAATATAATTATTATTTCTAGTTTTCAAGTTATTTATGTTTTCATATTCATGATCTCCATGCTAAAGATTATATATTCTCCAAAACTTAGGATCAAATTATATTTAAAAATATATTTATTGTCAAGCCCACATTTCTACAATATGCAGGCTGGTCGCAAAGAAACCATGTCCTTGACAAATACATGTGTTGTTCAATCAGGTCCAATATACTAACTTGGTTCACATATTACTGGTGTGGACGTGCATTACATGAAACAGGGTTGAATTGGTTATCCCAAAGTTGACCCAACGTAATTCCCTAAACCACAAAAAGTAGAGTGCCTGATTAAGGCAAGGGCTACAAGAATCAATACAAATACTTTCAAGAGCGATCATTTCAAGCTCACAAAGCTCTCAAACTAAGACAACCAACCCGAGGTTGCACAAAAAAAGTACCTCGAATTGAAAGGCACATTAGAAGAAGATTTATCTCACGAGTTCATATTAAAAAACAAGACATTGTTTATTTTGAACTTTTGCCAGCGGAAAGATCAACAAGAGAAAGGATACGTTCAGCAATTCGTGTGGATGCATCCGGCATTGCTGCCTTCGTTGCTTTCTCACTCATCTCTGCCATTAACGTCTCGTTTCCTGCAAGAATGGAAGGGGATTTAATGACTTATAGGGCTCACAGAAACTGAAAATATTCATCGGGAATAGAATACTGAATTACTGAAAATGACGGACTAAAACACAGCATAAATCTTACCAGAAAAAATAAAACATTAACGAACAGAACACGCATGCATACACACAAGCACACATAGTCACATCCATACATGTATTTATACATACATGCATTCATGCAACCATAAATATTTATATATGTAAACACAAACGCACAGACATGCATAAACATATACACATGCATGCATATTCACACCAAGTGCTGCACTATTTCCAGGTACCATAAACAAATAATGGCATCTCCATTGGCATCAAGTATGCTTTCTTCGAAATGATTGTCAAGTACTGTATTTTTTCTAACCATGTTTTCTTGCACCTTCGAGCATAGCAAGTACGCATTGTAGCCTTAGTATGACCTGGTATAACTGCCAGCTGCCTTGCATGTGCACCAATCATTAGCACAATGACCGCCCAACCATATCTTCCAAGGAAAACCAACCATGTTCCAAGTACTATCAAATTCTAAAAGATCACTTGTTGAGCTCTATCTGGCAGATTGCTCAAGGATGCGAATAATAACCATCAGGTTCAATATGGTTGTTGGATCCCATAACATTGCAGTCATCTGGAAAGTATGCTACTGGCTCACTGGTTCTGTTCTACCATCTGTGAAACTATCTCACAATCTGACGGCACATACATAACTTATGTCGATGGTTTATGGCACATGCTAACATACCACAGACACGATAATTGTGTCTGGCACTTCAGAAACTTAGACACTCCTGCTTCGCCTGCTTGTTGAGATGCCTACCCTACAAAAGTACTGAAAAGTCCTGCCTCCTTTGAATGATGATGGTTGTCATGTTTAAAAGGCCAGCTTTTGAGTTGGCACTTTTGACAACCGTACCTAAGTCAAACACAACAATAATATCCGAATCTTTGTAACAAGGAATGCACCTTCCTAGAATTAGTACCTCGGGCAGGCAAATAGTCTCAATAAAGCTAAAGCTAACACCCTCAGAAGTCAGCTTGCTAGGCAATTGACTAGTGAACTACAAACCTATCAAAGATGCGTCCGTCACTAGGTCACGATACTCGGTAACCATAGAAGCAAACAAAGTCACCCTCTCCTCGCAAGATGGCCATGGGAGTTATCACTTGTGTGGAAACCCTAAGAGTTAGCAAAACCCTGAAAGCTAGTAAAAATCTAGTGTCATCATCCATAAGTCTTTTCAATTCTCTCACCGTTCTTTGCACTACTCCCAACACTATGAAAAGCAAAAAGAGGAGACAAAACCAAAATATGGCAACAAATTTAGCCAACCCTGGTTTCACCAATGCTGGTAATGCTCTACTTTCAAGGAAGATCCTCAATCTAAGAAGTTACTATCAGGCAAGGATGTTTTCCCAGCGGTACATATCACACGCTCAAGTACAAAAAGATTGGTCCGAGTCGTGTGCTTCAGAAGATTGGCCATAATGCCTACAAGATTGAGCTTCTAGAGGGATATGGAATGTCTCCTAAACTTAATGCCTTTGATCTATAAGAATGTCATGGAGAGCCTATTGATGCAGAAGTGGATGAGTGGAAAGTGCAGATGCCCATGCAGCTTACTGATTAGATCTGGAAGGCTCTTGTCATTCAGACCATTGCTAGCCATTGCAGTTCCCACAATCTGTATATAGTCCGTTAGAAAGGCAAGCCTGAGTCAGATAATTCATGGATTACAAAGGAGGAATCAAAGAAATTTGATAAAGAAGCCTTGTAGAAGGTGGCGGATGACTAGAACTTGAGGGCAAGTTCTCTCTAACCAGGGGAGACTAGTGCATCTCACTTCCTGCACCAAATTTCTAGTCTGACATTCAGGGCTTTGGAAGCATTTTTGGGCCCCTATTATCAAGAAAACTGATGAAGTTGGTTTTCCGCTCATAGAGCTTACACTGTAATTTCCAAAATGTGGTCATGATAGTGGAAAGTCATGCTTACACGAAATTGGAGGTATTTTTCAGGGTTTTTAGGACGAGCTTCTCTTAATTTATGTCATTAGAAGTAAAAGTGTCAAGTGGAGTCTAATTTGAATTAGCCATTCTAATTACATCAGGATTAGGATTGGGAGGTTAAATAAAGTCTATAAATAGGGTTTGACTTAGGGTTTTGGTTCAAAGAGGAATTATAGTTTCAGAACTACTGTTTCCTTGAATTCTATGGAATTTTGCAAAGTCATTGAACCTTGGATCATTAGCTTCATTCTTAATATCAATCAACTCATCCGTTTTTATTTTTAATCTTCTTGAATTCTTTTTGGTATTTTGCATAACTAAACTTCACTGTCTATGATGACTACAAATTTTACAAAGACACGAAGCGAAGCACGAGTTTTCTGTACCTAGAGATTTGGCAGCAAGAAGAGAATCGCTAGACATGAATCATGGCAGTAAGAATTAAATCCAAGCACATTTGAGGCCAAGAAGATGATCACACACCTAGAATCTCCTCAATAACATTAGCAAGAGTAGTCGAATCAAGTTCATCTTCAGCTAGAACCTTTGAACCTGCTATCTCAGCCATAATAGATGCATTTTTTGTTTGATGATCTTCTGCAGCATTTGGTGACGGAATCTACAACAAATTTAAAAAAAAATAAAGAATAATAGTAAACGCAAAACTGAAGGAAGCACATTACTAAAAACAAAATGAACATGAGAAATAGAAACAATTTAGGGGAAGATGGATTTCCATAATAGTTGGTATATCACTTCAATTAAATCTCTTATTGGTATATTACTTCGATTAAATCTCTTACTCTATAATTTGATTTGATCTAATATTCTTGTAATAAAAATGGTCGGAGTAAAAGAGTTTAGTTTTAGAAACCATTGTGATATCCTTGGCAGGCAAAGCATTGAGACTGAATTCACAACCCTGAACCAAAAACCCACATAAACCTAAAGTCATTCAATAAAAGTATACAACAAAACACAAGCTACTGATAATCATATAAAATCTGATATTTGAAATTTCTACAACCCCTGTCTATAGATGCATCCTCCCAGCAATGCCATGAAGCAAGTGTCCATAAATAACTCAGGACATATACACTATAATTCATTTTCCACTTCATTTGTTGCACTTTTTTCATCCTTTGATGGAGATAGGAATGCTTTTCCCCTGTTATTTCCATTCATTGACTTGATTGTGTACTTGTAGATTTCTTGTATAGATGATGGGCACCTTTCGTTTATGTATCTTAATTTGCTTTATAGATGATGGGAAACCTTTCATTCATGTATCTTATTTTGCTTTTTACAGCTAACAAAGGAGAAGTAGAGATAACCTGAAAAGAAATATCATAGGACACAGAAGCATCACCAACTGCCTCCTAATTAAGCTTGTTATGCTTCTCTGAGCACATGGAGTGAGAAATAGAGTTATTCCCAAAATCTGTTCTGAATGTGTTTTCTTCAGTGTTTTAAAATGCGGGATGCGGTCCCTATGTGGTTGGGGGGCCAATGCGACGATGCGGCTCAATGTGGGCCAGATGCGGGTGCATCACCCCGATGCGGTCAATAAAAATATAAAAAATTCCGAAACAAATCTTAAGAAATAGGTTAATGCATGGAAAAAATATAGAGGTGATTTATGTGATAGCATGTATTTAATTTATTCATTAACTCCAATGTTATCAATTGTCAAAGACTTTGAATCCCCTAATAGAAGAGATTAGAAATATAAAGGAGAAACTCGAATCTTGAAAAACTAACTTTATAGTAGACATTAGAACTTATACCACATCATATTATCATAATTCAAATAAACATCCAAAAATCATAACCACATATTTGCAATTACGAACTTTAAAGTTACAAACTCCAAAGCAAAGATATATACAACCATTAAAAATCTATGAAGAGTTCAAAAGTCAAGATGAATCATAGAAGAAAATAGAATTCAAAAGATGATCTAATCAGCTCTCAACTCTCAAGTGTCAATCTGAAATCTCAATCACATAAGTCATCTAGGGAGTCTCCATGTGGATGTGCATGTGCATCTCTAGCATTTGAGTGTGAGGAATCCTCATCATCGATATCATCCTCGGCGAATTTCACATATTCTTCATCTTCCTCGATCTCCTCTAAGTCAGCCTCCTCCTCGACCACTAGAACTGATATGCAACTGGACCCAATTTTTCTCTTTTGTGTTCTAGTGTTAGGTCATTCTTCTTTCTCAGCCCCTAAGGCTAGTTTGACATCATACACGCTCCGCTCGCAGATCTATAGTCCACTCACTTGTGCCCTCACTATCAAGTTCATACAATCGAATTGGGTTAGGATCCATCCACTTACTCTCAAACATACGCTCACCAGCCATATAAAACCACTTTGCAATGTACTTACATACCTTCTTTTTCTTTTCTTTCTTGTATCGATATTCGATTATTTGTTTTGTTTTTTCCCTCCTCTCCTGAACCATAATTTTGGGCTAGGGGTGCAAAATGCATCCATTGGCCCCTTAGGGAGAGGTATTTTTTGTGCAACAATACATCATGCATCTCAGAAGAGCCTCCTAAAGAATGATAGAGCGAATGAAATGAAGAAAGAAACGAAGAAAAAAATAAAAAAGACGATAGAGAGAAAGGGGGAAAAGGAAGAGAGTAGGAAGAGGAAGACGAGGGGGTTGAGACAGAGAAGAAGATGAGGTTAAGAGCACCATGCATCTCAAAAAAGCCTCCTAAATAATGATTTAGCAGATGAAATGAAGAAAAAAATAAAAAAGACAATAGAGAGAAAAGGGGAACAGGAAGAAGAAGAGTAGGAACGGGAAGACGATGGGGTTGAGTCAAAGAAGAAGAGAAGGTTAAGAAGAAGAGGAAATAAAAGAAGAAAGGGGAGAAGAAGAAGAAAGAGAAGAAGAAGAGGAAGGAGAAGGAGAAGGAGATGAAGGAGAAGAAGGCACCCGTTAATTAGGCAAATTTTCGATGCCACCTCCCCTAGGAGGCATCTACGGTTGTACAAAAAGGCATTGAACCGAAGTCAAAATACCTGAGAGGACTCTTAAGATGCTATGTTAGGGGACGAATCAGCTGCATGCAATGGCCGATATAGCTACCTATCCCACTTCTCATCAATAATCTCCTAAATACGCTTATAGCGGCTCTCATCATCATCTAAATTTTGTGCTATCTCTCTCTTGCATCTCTACATAGCCTCATATATGTAGCCCACTATCAACCATGCGAAGGACTCTGACAAGAGGAAAATATACCTTAAGATCGCCCCTCACCCTTGGCCAAAAAGCCTTCGAAACGATAATATCTCTCACTTTCTTCCCAACCTGATCCTTGGACCACTTACATGCTCTCCAGATATCTGAGATAAACATATGCCTCAACTGGACTCTCCTCAAATGTATGCTACCTATGCATAAGTACCAGGTCGCAAATCTCGTGACCCCAAGCCTCACAATCTCTTTCTTCTTTGTACATTTACGTATCATGCTGAGGGTGAGAGTGTGGCTATAAATGAAATTCGTGACTTTGCCTTCTTCAAAGCACCTAAAATTTCGCTTAAACCGCCAAGAGCCTCAAGCATGAGCTCTATACAATGTGCTGTACATGGTGTCCAAAAGATTCTAAGGTAAGCTATGCGCAACAAATTAGCAACAGCAACATTAAGAGCAGCATTGCCTGTGACAACCTATATAACAAGTTGCTCCCCGACCTCCTTGATTCCCTTCTCCATATTTTGGAATATGTAATGGGCATCATGGCTATGATCAGAGGCATCAATAGACCTTAAAAAAACAATCCCTAAAGCACAATTCACTAGCAAATTCGTCTAGCTTCTTCTCTTCCTATCACTCCAAGCATCAGTCATAATAGAAACTTCATACTGAGCCCAAGCATCTTTCTGAACTTCAACAGCATCCTTCGTGACACTCACCGCTTTTTTCAAAAGAGGCTCTAGAAGCTTATATGGGATTGGGGGTTTCATCCCAGACCCAAATTGGCCAATTGCCTCTACCAAGGCGTAGAAGCTGCTTAAGCAATCAGTATCGAAAGGAATGCTCGCCTCATAAAACCATGTAGCAACATAAAAAGCAGCTCCACCTCTCTCATCCTTCTTGATTCTATTTTCAGTGGTGGTTTGCTTCTTTGTTTTCTCTCCTGTAACCTCAAGGTTAGGTCTGGGCAAAAACCAATCCATAGGGCCTCTAACCCGAGACATCTTCGGCCCCGAACTCCCAGAAGCAATTACAACTCCCTTTCCCTTCCCCCTAATAATGGATTGTTGTTGTTCTACCTCTTGACATCCCTCCCTGTCCTCATCATTGTCATCATCATCATAACTGACCCAAACCCCAGACCTAATCTCTGCTACAGATGCATGTCTTTTTTCATTTTTACAAAACTCAAAAAATTGTTTATCTCATCTTTAACAGCATCAGAAGCGTATTTACATGAGGCAACATCCCCCCGATATCGGCAAGATGTTTCTTGAACCGGTTTATGGTCCCCCTTTATATCCTTGTCACAAAACTTGCATCTTATGCAAGTTTTATCTGAAGGATTCAGGTTGTAGCCATATTTCCAACCCAGATCACCACTTCGATTACATCCCAAAGAAGGCATCTCAAAATAATACAAGTTATACAAGCAATCAAAAAAAAATCACTAACTTTGATTGCTCAACTCCAAACTTCTACCTCTAAGATGTGTCTAAGGACTTAAAATCTTCTAAAAAACCCTTTAACAGATTTATAAAATATTCATAATTAAATCTAATATCAATGGGTGATGCTTAAATCAATTTCTCATAACTTTGAGAAACCCTTCGATCCTATGGAAATCACTAAAAAATAGTTTTTTGGAGTTTTCTCTCTCTAAAATAGCTCTAATGGGTTTTCGGTTTTAAATGAACCTAAAACCCAAAATTTTGCCCTTTTAGTATTAAAAAAAAATGGCAAAAAATACCATCAACAAGTGGCTTTTCGGCCTCTGGGTAGGGCGTAGGCCCCGAGCAGCTGCTCAGGGCTGGGCGCTGGGCACCCACCTATGTGGGTTCTCGGGTGCCTAGGGATTTCCGCCTTTTTTTGCCGCTCAGGATTTGGGCGGTCTGCATTTTAAATCATGCCACCCATTTTAGAGAATGATGAACTATGGGGGGTGGAGCTCCCTTTTTATTATGTAAAACCCATGTAGCGTGGGGTACATAGAGGTAACTCGGTCTTTAAACATTGACCTTGGAAGTCACAGTTGGTGATTCTTAACCTTGAAAGTCGTAGCTAAAAATCTCGGTGGGCCTCTAACCATGATTTAGAGACCAAGAAGCCCAAATTAAGAGACAATCATATATCTCAATGAGATCCTCAATTTGATCTTCAGATCATCCCAAATGGACATAGATGAAAAGTTATGCCTTGGGAAAGCAGATTGCGTCACTGAAGCATTTTCCCCTCATTATCATTCGACATTCACCCTAAAACAAAACCTTAACTAGCCAACCACGTTGTTTCATCCTTCATCAACCAAACCCTAAATTTCATAAAACAAATCTACTCCAATCCTAGATCCTAACTCATAGCTACGCCTATTCTACCCACGTCGTCTATATTTTATCTTTCAAAACGTCCATGCCAAACCCTAATTTAATCTAATCCTTAGCATAAGCCTAGCTCTCATAAACCCTAATTGCCGAAACCTAGTCTTCTCATGCGGGATTTCCTTGCTCCTATGTCATTACTCAAGGAGGCATTCTCTTTTATTGTTTACTGAAGGGCCCTCGACTGATTAAAAAATAAATAGGGTCACATTGACCACGGGTCTTTGGCAAAAAACACATGTAACTGCTTCTTCATGACTAGGAAACTTGGATCAGCTAGATGTGTCATCACTGATCCAGTGGAAGTGGTTGATACATCTCCTCATGAAAATTTAAAGTGATAACATATCACATTAAGGTGATCATCCAATTCATGCAGGAGAGACAAAGAAAAATGGAAAATAAGTACATTCGTCATTCTTGAAGCATACTTGAAGTGGTTGGAAGTGATTCAATGGCTTTTTGGGTAAAACTTGACACTTTAACATATTCAAAGTGTTCCATCCAAAACATTACGCCACCAAATTAAAAGCAAGTTAACCGTACATTCGTGCAAGATGCTCTCATTCATCAAACTAACAATGCCTTATCGTAAGTAAGAGAAATAGAAAACCAACTGCTCAACAATTCTACATTAGTTTTATACTTAAATTGTGATCTGTTGTTTTCTTCACAATGACTACCATATCACATTGAAACTGAGGAACTTTTTCATGCTTCAAAAAAATCGTTAGAACGCTACCAGGATAGAAGGCTTCCCTGTGGCCAAAATCTCGGTACATGTCATGGAAACAGCTCTAGAAACAACGAGGTCTGCAGCAGCATAAGCCATATCCATTCTATGCATGTACCTGACAGGTTATGAAATCATTTGAATGCTTACACAACACTGTAAAGCGGTGATCATAGAAGGCATTTTATATTAAGGAGGCAAGTTATTACAAGATGAGTACTATGTGTAACCGTAAAAAACAAGCTTACCCAACAGTCCTATGATGTCATCGTGCTATTAGGTGGGACAGATTATGACAATTTGTCACAAGATTTATTAAGATGCGATAGTAAAAATGAAAGAAGGGGAATAATACATACATAGATGCTGTTCCAGGTCATGGATCATCAGCAATTGTAAAAGACTATAGATGCATCACTACCATGACTGAAAAGATACAAGCAGTGGCATTTGAACATTATATCCCAAGCTCAAGTCACCACGCCCCAGCCTCTAGTTCCCTTCAGATTCATTAAGGGAATAGGAGACTGAAATTTTCAATGACTTGTGGAACTGAAAATCATAGAACTTCCCTGCAAACGAAGTGATACACGAGGAACTTACTAAAGCCTAATACAAATAATAACTTCAAATCTAGCTTCCCTACAAAAAGATATATGCTAATTTTTTAGTGATTCTTCTAACAAACTCCAACACCCAAGGGTTCACAATGTGAAAATACACTTGCAATTGCAATCAAGGGTGTATTTTGAGATAGCCAATTCAAGCAAGATTTAATTTGCAAAGAGCTGGCGCATGGGGATGTGGGTTGGGTCACCCAGTTGAATGCAGGCTGGGTTGTAATGTGTGTCTCTACCAAATGTATATTCAGGTCTTCTCGGGCAAAATCTGTAAATCAGGGACAGACCCATTTGTTCCTTGCATTCTAATGCACTTCGAACAACTATCCCAACAAATTAAACCTCGTCACCCAAATGCGATTATTGCCAGCAAATAATTGAAAGAGCCACCAATCGCAAAATAACCAGAAAAATTTAGAATAAGTCAAAGATAAAGGACAAAAATATGTTGGAAGAACTCAAAATGAAGAAAAAGGTGATACACCATACGCTCTGTAACCATACACATCATAAAAATGTATGAGCATTGGAAGGTGGTGTATGAGGGATTTGTGAATTGATACAAACCAGCGATAGCCTTGAACCCAATGCAAAGCCAAGGATGCCACGGCATAGGGAGCATGGGGTTCTCAGTTCTCACAATCTCACAATGCTGTATAACTCTAACAGGGGACAACTGAGAATCAACCAGCTCTGCCCAAATCAACAAAAAATACTCAAAAGCATTATAATGAATGTTTGCTGCTCAATAGAGAATCAGATTTATCTATCAAAAAAACAGGAACCAACTCATAAAATTTAAAATCTTTAATCGTTTCTCATAAAAAGACAGCACCATGCAATTTCACTCTCTCTTGAATGACACAACCTTAGACCAACCATCTGAATTCAAGGTAACTAAGGCACAAATATTGGTCCTATAAAACAACTTCACATTACCAGAGAGAAAACCAGAGAATACCACCAGCGTCACTAACTCTAGACTTACCAACTTTCCCAAGCTCAAATGTTCACAACCTCATGCATTTACAAAGCTCCATAGTGCTATTAAGCCTACCTAACTCACTAATGAACAACCCATCAGCTAGATGAAACAAACCTAAATGGCAGACAATCACCATCAACCCCAAAAAGCCAAAGGATTTTTCAGAGATAGCAACTCAAGGCACAGGATGCTCACCTTGGGTTAGAATAGCTCTTCAGATCTAACTATATGCAACTTCCCAATTCATGATCACTTTGCCAAGGAAAGGCTTCCTAAATCATTACCAATAATATGCTACTCCACTTGTGGAATAAGGACAGAACAAATAGGAATGTTCACCTCAATGAGAATAATCATGCCCACATAGGAAACACAATATACTTTTCATTAGGCTAGCCACCTTTGAGACCTATCATACTCATGCATGTGTTTGGTCTCCCAATATATAACAGTGGGGCAACATATAGTATACACCTTCAAACAAATGGGATGAGCTCTAAGAAGAACCTGGGGATGCCAATACCCGTAAACTGTGCCAAGAACTGAAAATTGCCCCATCATGGGTTCAAAAAACCTTAAGATAAGATCCAATTCTCTCCTGAGCAAAAGTGGCATTATATTATATGAAAGTTTCATTAGCAAAATCAAGGTGCGTTACCTCCAAGTCTGGAGTCTAGCCTCATTGTTTTTAATCACTCCTAAATCCGTCACTTCCTTGACAATCAAACATAGTTTAGAATCAAGGATTCGTAAGCGCCAAGCCCCCATCAAAAAATTCTATATGCGAATAAAAGCCCCTTAAGAAGGAGAGTTGATGGAAGAAAGAAATCCACAAAACTTCGAACATCAACCATTAGTCCATTACACAACAAACCACACTTCACACTATATACACCACATCTATTAAACGAAACTTGTACAATAAAATTCCAATCTTATCGTAGTAAAGTTTTTGATGGATTGCAATCCAGACTAGCTTCCTCTCAAAATCATTCCAGAACTTGACCATTCAGCCAATATAATGATACATAGAAGAAAAAGAAAAAGAACTCAAAGAAGAACAAGAAAAGAAAACTAATACAAACTAAAAAACTGTTGGAAGCGAGAAAAAAACGAACTTACGATACCAATGACACTCGAGGATGACCCCGCACCAGGCTCTCCATCTCATCAAACGCATCAAGCCCAGTTTGCCATATAATATACCTATTCTTATGCTCCGACAACATTTGCAAATAGAAGTTCAAAACTGCAATATTGATTGCATTTGCACCCAAAGAGCCTCCAAGGATCAAAACCAACTGAGCAGAAGCCGCCGACCTTGCAGCCTTGGGAAAGAAATGTGACCTTGCAACTGCCTTTGACACAAACCTTCTGAGAGATGGGCGCACGGGGTTACCAGTGATCACACACTTGCTTTTTGGGAAGAAGCCCACAGAAGCAGGGAAAGAAACAAAAATGAGAGTCGCAAAGAGAGAGAGTATCCTATTTGTCAACCCCGGCTGGCAATTTTGCTCTTGAATCACAACTTTGAAGCCTCTAAGAGCCGCGACCAAGCACAAGGGTCCTGACACATAGCCACCTGTCCCAACCACAATTTGGGGGGAGAAATCATTGAGAATTTTCCAGCTCGATGCAAAGGAAATGAGGAGTTGGAAGGGTAGAAAGAAGTTTTGGGGAGAGAAGAAGGGGTGTTTTAGTGCAGGATAGGGGAAGGGGACAATTTCGAACCCAGCAGAGCGGACGGCATTCCATTCCATCCTTTCTTTGGCGCCAACGAATCGAATGAAAGCATTTGGGTGCATGGCTTTGATCTCATCAGCGATTGCAATGGCAGGGTAGACGTGGCCTCCAGTGCCACCAGCAGCGAACATGATCCTGAAATTGCCTGATTCATTGGAGGAGAGTGATGGAGAGGCATTTCCCTCCTCCGGACCTTTCAGTGCCAAGCAAGCAGAGATCCTGAGCCTGAAATCCAATCTATGAGAGATGAGGAAGTAAACAGTGCAATTTCATACTAATACTAAAGCACATAGAGATAGAGAGAGAGAGCGAGAGTCCGCTCCCGGGGGGGTTGGGTTTAGGTTGATCTTATAGAGATTGTCCTGTTGAGGTTTGTAACAGATATAGGGAAAATGAGAGGATAGAGTTCTAACCCTCCCAGCGCGCACAGAACGATTCATGGAAGAAGGGGGAGAGGAGGGCAGAGAGAGAACTAGAGGGAAAACTTCATGGCCACAGGGAAGGTGGAGAGAGAGAGAGAGCGATTCATAGCCAAAGGGGGAGATGGAAAGAGAGAGAGATTGCCAAAGCTAAAGGAGGAGAGAGAGAGAGAGAGAGAGAGAGAGAGAGATTACCATAGCTAAAAGGGAGAGAGAGAGAGAGAGATATTGCCATGATCAAATGCCTCAGTACCTGATTAAATTTTTATTGTCAAAAAAGAAAGAGAGATTGCCACAGCTAAAAAGGATTTTAGTGCAAATCCGATGTGAAGAGAGAAAGAGAACTGAGTTCCAATCATACTCTAACGCAGAGAGAGAGTGCGTAATTGTGTTAGAGAGAGAGTGTGTGCTCGAGCACTTAGAGAGAGTGTGTTCCACAGGCAAAAAGATGTTTGGTTTAAAGTTTTAATCCGATGAAGAGAGAGAGAGATGAGTACCTAACCTGCCTTCCGGTCCTTCTTTGTGAACCCACAAATGGCGGTCTCTGTAACCGCTGCCTCTGCTGAAGACGAAGAAGGTGGTAGAGCGGGCAATGACAGTGGAATGAGGAGAGAGAAGTGCCATTGACCTCTGTACTTACTTTCTATGTTTCATAAACCCTACATTTGTTTTGTTTGCTGGTGAAAGAACAAAGAAACACTCCATTTTCAAGCAATAGCAACAGTGATGGAGAAACCCAAATTTCATGAAAACTCAGTTCGCGTTTTTTATTTCCACTCCTGCACGCGAGGGCCGAGTCAGAAAAGTACTGTTGCTTTTCAGTGAAAATGACCTACAATTAACGCCCTTTTGTTTTCATCCCATTGAACCTTTGCGCCCACCAAAATTCACTGTACCCCTGGATTTTAGACCTTTGGGACGGTTAGGCCCCATACGTTTTCTTTTATTCTTTTTAGAAATTTTATCCTTTTATTTTACTAATATCAAACACATCATTTAATCATTTATATAGTTAAAGTGCAATCATTTATTTTACTATATATCAAACGTATTTTGTAATATATTATCTAGATCGTCAATTTCCAAGATTTTTAAGTGCTCATAAATCTATTTGATCTACACTATTTTTTAAGCTTGAAATTTTACATTTAGATATGAAAATAAATTTTTAGGTCATCATAAAAACAAATGGTATTGAAAGAATATCTTTCTGTTGGGTTTATGTGGCCTTTAAAGGCCTTATGAGTATTTGTAAAATGAAATGATATAGTGGAACATAAACTAAGTGGGAGTGTGGTCCCTCGTGGACCATACTAAGCAAACGATGGTTTGCTGATACCGATCGATGTTTAACGATCTAGATCAGTCGGATAGAAAAAATCCATGTTACCTGGGCATGAAGAACAAACCGATGAGGGTTTATGGGTTAGCCCTTGATGAAGTCAGAGAACATGCCTGCATAAGTGAGCCGAGGGACTGTGTGATTCTTGTGTGTGATGGTGGCCCATTGAGACGGGGGCCAAAACCTCATCCATGTTCTATCACACGGCATGCATATTGATAGACTGTTCGAGCAAGCCAGATATCCACCTTTGGGTGAAGCGTATGAATGTGCGAGAGATACCCCTATGCATCATAGAGCTGTGGTCACATCAAATCGTGGTGACCTTGACTTGTCTCTAGGGGATGACCTGTAATCTATATACTGGGATTGCAACCCCTTGACTCATCGATCTGACTTTGGTGACCCGCTAATGAGCTCTTGTTTGGACTGTGGGTCATGAGAAACACTGGGTCAGTTCGATAAAGCTAATGTGGTCTGTAGTCCACAGTTGAAGGTGGAGTATCCCGTTATTACAGATTGGATTCTTAAAACCATATGGATCATTTTCCCATCATATTAATTTAATTGTGTTCATTTTATTATTGAAATGATTTTAGTTTTATTATTTGAATTTTATGAATCTCTAAATATTTTATTTGTGATTTTTGGACTTATAAAAATACAGTTATTGTTCTTACAAAGTTATAAAAATTCAAATACATATTTTAAATTGTTTTATTCAATTTTTTTAAAAAAATTATAATATTTCATGGGGGCCCATAGTGCACATGGGCCCACCATGTGGCATGTGGGTGGGGGCCTACGTGTGCCACAAAAGGGTGGCACGCCCCACCCACTTTGGATTCTCTTGTTTGCTTTGAAGATAATTTTAGTTTGATTTGTGGCATGTGGTAAATCTTGGAAGGGATATATTGACCATGACTTTATCTATTTTGTAGCAAGTTTGTTTTAAAGAGATGATCAATTTGAATTGATATAGATCTTATCTTATTTATATTTGGTAATATTTATCTACTTGATATTATTTGACATATCCTTATGGAATATGTGACATGGGTCGTGCAATTTTATAGAATGCATGATATTTATTTTAATAAATTGATGGGAAAATGGTTTAGGAAAGGGGGATAATATTTCATGCACCTTTCATAATGTTGATGAATGGATGGCTCAAATCTCTCACCCCACAAGTCACCATTGATCGACGGTCTATGTTCAATCTTACAAGAAGAGGTTAAATAAAACCCTAAGAAACCCTAATCTTATTCAAGACCTATAAAAAGGATTGTCTCCACAAAAAAATCTGTGCATCTTATCTCTTGTACCTAATTCCCATCTTTCTCTCTCATATCCCAAACAAGGGACACACACCACTCTCTCATATTTGATCTCTCTCATGTTTCATCTCTCTCTCCCACATTGTGAAAGAACCTAAAGTTCTTCTCTCCTATCTTTCAAGTATAGATTTACGGCTAAGGGTTTTAGGATTTAGCAAAAAGAGAATCCATCTCTCTCAAACTAGGTTGTTAAGAGAATTCACCTAAGGTTGAAGTTTGTGATCAAAGGGGTTTCATGTTCCATTGGTGTGGCTTAGTCAAAATTTGTTTTCTCGGTTCGAGCTTGAAGCTAGATCGTTGATCCACCACCATTGGATGGTGGTGACTCGGTGTGGGGTGTAATAAGCCCAGTTGAGATAATCTCCGACACTCTTTCTTTTTGTTTCTTGCAATCTTATCTTTTATTATCAAGTACAATGCATAGTTGTTTCAATGACATCAAGTTGTTAAGATATTGGTTTTATTGTTATGTTGATTTTATTTTGAAATTTATCTTATTATAATAAAGACCACTTGTAAATGATATTTCTGCTAAAAGAAAGGGGTGAAAAAAAAAAAATGTATTCTCTGGTAAAAGATCACATAGGTCTTTCTTTCATTTTTGATATTATTTGAATGTGCACCTTACTTTGATTGTTTAGGGCCTCAGCCTTATACAAAGCACACCCATAATTTATTAATTGTCCAATAGTTTATCTTAAAGAAATTTCAATAAATTTTTTTAATAAAGAAACAAATAATAACAATAATAATAATAATCTATTAACAATAGTAATAAAAATATTGATTAATCACTTTGCAAGTTCTAAATATATTGATGTAATTGTAAAAGGGAAAAGTTTATATAGAGTCCAACCTCTAAACAATCAAGTAAGAGCCCACCTCAACAAATTTACTAGAAGAGGTTGTTTTGATGCTCAAATATCCTTAGATTGATCATCTAGACATCAAAGTCTACATTTATAGAGTGGGTCTCCCGAAATAAGATTGGTTTTAGGCATGAGAGAAAGGAAAGAGAGTTGATTTGTCATGTTATAAAAAAGATATTTATGTGTGGATTACACTTAAAATATGTTATATAACAAAACACACAAAATATGTCCAGGATGGAATCCCAAATTTTTTTTTTTTTTTTTTGACAAGTTTGCCACCGGACCGTCTCTTAACCCCTTCGCAAACATGTACATCCGGAACTACTCGCCGAAAAATGTCGAGACTAGCTTGTGCAACCGGAACTCCACCGGAAAATGTGGGACTGATTTATATTCGACCCACAATTGCTTACCAAAAAAAGTTCAAGGCCAGCCGTCGGGTGTGAGTTGGGTGAGGGTTTTGAGTGAGGGAGAGATCAATGGTGATTTGGGTGAGAGTTTTGAGAAAGAGAGATCAACAGTGAATTTTAGAGAGAGATTTGGAGCGAGTTGGGTAGGGTTTCTTGAAAGAGAGAGAGAGAGAAAACATTCTTAGTAAGCTGTGACAGAGTTTTTAGAGAGAGAGGGAGAGAGCGGTTGTCATGGTGAGCAGAGGGACTGTCTCACTCTCAGCCCTTCTTCCTGTGGCTGCCATTTCTATCCACTAGACCCACACAAGGTAGAGAAAGGGAGAGCTGAGCAACTGGGGCCTGAGAACATGATCCTGAGAGATGGATCTATTTGCATTTTAGACCATGTAACAATCCTCAAATCAGAGATGAATCTATTTTGCATTTTTAAACCATGTAAAAACCCCAAAACTAGAGATGAATCTATTTATATTTCAGACTATGTAAGCTGAAAAGCCAGAATCTCTGCAACTTCATCTAAGCTACAATGATTCAAGACCGTACTTTCCACCCTTACAAAGCCACCCAAAACCCTTCTATCTCTTTTTCTATGCACTCTCTCTTTATCCCTTTGCTCCAGTTGTACATGTTTGGGAAAGGGTCCAGAATCCGTTTGATGTTTATAATATCGGATGCGAGACGAATTTGTTAAAAAAAAAATAAAAAAATTTGAAATTCTGTCTTTTTGGATAATAACGGGTCAATTTTGGGCTATTTTAATATGACAGATCTTAAATCCGGTTCTTACGTAAAATTTCTTTTTATAAAACAAAAAATTAAATTTGTAAAAAAAACAAAAGAAAGCATATTTGAAGAGTTAACTGTCCCAAAATTTTAAACTCAGACATAAAAGGATTTCGTAAAACCCAAAGGGCTATTCGAGATGAAAAGTTTAAAAAAGAGGCTACTCGGCATTTTCTTTTACAGCCACTCAATGTATCATGATATTTGGTACCGCAGGCATTTGGGCATCCATCAATCTATTCTTAGTCGCAACGCCTCAGCTACAAAATAAATGGTGGGCTGAGGTCAAGGTTTAGATTGCTGAAGGGCTTTGCTGATCTTGTTTTTTCAAACTTTCATCCTCTTTTTACTTTTTTCGTTTCGAATCTATAGTCTCGGCCAGTTAGGGGTGGCAATGAACCCAGATCTAATCCAAGACCTAACCCAAATGGGTTTGGGTATGAGTCCCATATTATATTTTCAGGTATGGGTCAAAGTTTGGGTCCCGCATTATATTGTTTGGTTTTGGTTTTGGTTTGCGTCTGGATCTGAGTCCTATAATATTTTTTGGGTCTCGGTCTGACTTGGAGCTAGACCCGACCCGACCTGACCTAACCTAACCCAACCCCATTTGTTGCCAACCCTATAGCCAGCAAAAAAAGAGTCGATACACCTGAGCGACTCGTACATAGAATGCACTACCTGGTTTAACACTTGGCTATGAGGCGGAAAAAGTTTGATGATGAAAATTCACGTCCTCCGGGCCATCAAATGTGAACTTCTAACGGTTGTGATTCATCGTTCCTTTTGTCAAAGGCAGTCAAAAAATTAATGGCATTCGAGCAGAGAAGCAACACACCATAATAGGTGCTTTTTGCAGCTCGTGGCTTGGGGGGGCCTGAAATTTCCATAAAAAAATTAATTGCACTTAATATACAAATGACACGGTACATGTAGGTTTAACAATTTATTTTGTGACAACGGATGACTCGGATGAACAATTCGTACTCTGTAGAGGACGATGATAAACTTAGGGAA